CTCTGCTTTGCCCTCCTTGTCTACTGAGACTCTCTGAGGAACAGACTTTCTTTCTGTGTGCATAGAGCCCCTACCATAGCAGGGCACCAACCTGGGCATGCAAAAATTTTTTGGCAGAACTGAAGATTGAATCCAGACCTTTTTTTTAAGAGACGAAGCCATTCCCCAGCCATGAGACCATTCTTCCCCTTTTCTATCCAACCAGCTTAAAACGCTGTGCAGAAGAAGCTGTCTCTGCTTTCATTTTACAGACGAGGGAAACCAAGGTACATACAAATTATGTTAACCAAGGTCACCCAAGGAGACAGTTATTGAGCAAAGAACAACCACTAATCTTAGCTGGCCTCTCCTCCCTTCTCCAAACAAGCAGCAGATAAATATTACTCTTTCTAAATTGTTTCCCCGGCAGTCCAGTGTAGCCACAGTTGTGGCAATTCCATTATAAATTCCATTCTCTTTGAGTTAATAACTTGGCTGCTTCAATCGGTCTCTCTGGGAAAAGGTATGCCTTCGCTGAGAATCAGCTTGGACATTTAACTAACATGTTCATCTACCTCCAGGCCTTTCATACCTCAAATGGCTTTGTCAGATTTTGTAAGAGAAAGATTACATGTAATGGATAAGGACGGTCTTGGATTTTCTCAGGAAAGCTTTGTTTATGGGGGAAGAGAGTCACGGCAGTGCTACAAATGCTGCAGAGCTTGGTAAAGCAAAGAAAATCAAAGCACTCTCCCCATCTCATTGTATAAAGGAAGCCTCAAAGCCTTAAAAACAAAAGTTTCTATAGGAGAAATACTGCGTGCTTCCATCCTCATCATTTGAGCTACAGGATAGCAATGTCTCTACACCTACCCTCAAGGTTGGAGGAAAGCTAAAACCTAGCCTTGGGGCCTGGGTGTCCCACTAGTCAGCTTTACCCTGTGAGCACTGGTTTTGATTTGTTCTTTTAGGTCAGTACAAGCTGCATCTCCCCTGCAAAACAAGGTGCAGCTTAGGGGCTGTATCAGCAAACCTCTTCAAGTGCAGACCTGAGCTCATTAAGAAATCCCTGTAAGAAGTTTCAGCAAATGCAAGCTGCTGTTTGTATCAGTGGTCTAAGGTTTTATTTTTTAATTCCAGTTGTTTTTCCCCTGCCATCCCAGCAATTCCCAAAATAAATGATTTTCTTCATGTGCTGTGAGTTTCCATTTAGTCAAAAAACATAAATGTTCTTTTTTTTTTTTTTTTTTAATTCCAAACTAGTTTCTCCAGCAGCCAATTCATGTGATTGCCTCCTCACTTAGGAGTACTATAGAAAGTCCCATTACTCGGGGATTTTTCCGTTTCTAATCTTAGATCATACCACCTCTCCTTTTCCAGCATGGAAACTTTTACATGAACACAACTTACTCAAATGTAGGCAGGACAATAAACTTGGTCTGGCTAATCACACTCATATGAGGGGGTTTATCCTGCCATGAACATACACATTTATAATGAAGCATTGTGTAGATCACACATCAGAGTCTGTCTGATGGTGTGCTCAGGACTGAGGCCATGGACTATCACTTATGCTGAAAGTTTAAGGAGAATTTGGGGTATCTTATTTCAGCTTTCCTGTGCAAACGAGCCACTGTGATTTAGAGACACCAACACCAATTATCCCAGGCTTTCCGAAATCTTTGATAGTGACAACTCCACCCTCACCTACCCTACACCTCACTTGAATGTTAATCCTAAAGTTAAGGCTCACTGGACATGTCTACATGCTCATTAGCATGCCTTTGCTATGGTGCATTGTTTAATACTTCTAATATGAGTAACTAGATAAAGGCACAGTAGCTGCACTAATGCGTAGTAGCAAAGGCAAACTTTTTTTTGGAATGCTTAACATGCAGTCGACTCGTTCTACTGTGCATTAGCAGAGTTTTTGCTGCGATGTGCTAATGTGCAGGCCAACTGCACATTAAGGCAGCTCATGTAGACACACCCACTGTACTGCTAATGATGTGACAATGTAGGCTCCAGACCTAAAGCGTAGGAGAAAAGTCACTCCCTTTCTGCAGCCACCCACTTCAGACACGAGCAATGGCACATCCTCCAGTCTTGTCTTTCCACTTTGGCCAGCAGGTTGAGTAGCAAGGACCTGTCAACTACCACAGAAACTAGGACAGTAAGTAGTAATTGTTAATCATGACATGCATGCAAAAGGGGTTACGCTCACATAGTACATTGTGCACTAGACTGATGCGATGGCACCAGCAGAGGCTTCAGGAACTCTGCACTGCAGTCACAGCTCCAGGAGACATACCCAAATTGGTAGCATCAGTTCAACAACATAGGGGAGAAGGGGAATAGGAGGTTTGTGAATACTTGAGTTAACTAGTTTAGAGGCTGCTCACGTAACCTGAATGAGAGAAGGGTTTCTCCATATTTTATGGCAAGTGTCAGGAAAGTTTCCCCTGGGCTGGATTGTGTGTGAAGCATTGGGCTTGTACACCAGCTGAAGTCTACTCCAGGATCTTACACTTTCTGCTTAATGTTCTCCCATTGCCTGTGGCAACAGCAGGAGGGCCATGATAGTCGAAACCACTGGGCCAACTATCATCATTAGCCTCTACAGTGACCTACAGCCAGTTACATTAGCTCTGATCCTCGTGGGGATGCCAGCAAAGCAAGCTAGAGCCAACCTGAAAAGCAAGCACAGATCCCTCTCCCCCTTAAAAGCAGCAGCACAGCCCTGCAGGGTAGTACAGTCGTGGATCAGAAGGCATCAGCCAGCCCATTGTTTTATTATCAGTCATAGAAGACGCACCAGAAAAGAAGTGGAGAGGAAAACCCACTTGTCTCCTGCCATTGCACACCTCATCTTTGTTCTAAAAAGCAGCTGCTGTGAGAAGTTTACATCTTAAGGTTAGGAACTGGAAGATTTGCTGCTGGTTTTACAGATTACGCTTGTCAGATCTTGGCTACAGTGGCTTATTATAGTGTTTTGGACAAATTAACCTTCAGGTGACACCAAAATGGAAACATGCGTTGTGTGTCTTCTTTGGCAAAGCTATAAAAATAAAACGCTTAGGGTAAGTCAGAGCTGATATTTTATTATTAGAAAGGGACCTCTTTTGGGGGAAATATTTATTTATACACTGGCAATAATATACCAACAGGCACTGGAGAGCTAAGCAGCATGCCATGTCCCACGTGAAGATTGCTTGCAAGAATGATTAAAGAGGACCTACTGGTAAAACTGTAGGCAGAGTTTAAGACTTGCTTGCAGTAACACTGCAAAACTGTTTTCAGTGGACCCAGGACTTCAGTCGTCCATCCCAGGTAAATTTATGATGAAGTTAAACCTGCCTCAGAAAAGCCCAAGCTAAGTGGCATCTCACTACAGAAACACTGAGACTTTCCTTTTCTTCAACATTTATTTTCCATAGTTAAATTCAGGTATCACATTTTCTACATGAAATGATTCTCATGCTCAGACCCCACCCCCAAGAGAAAGAATTGGATAAAGCTTTAAGATGGAATGCACCGAAGTAAAGAAATTGCTATTGCACCCAAGCTACAGAGAACACAGACACCAAAACAGAAAGATCTGCATAGAACAGAACTGTAGGGCAATGCCAGGAAGAAGCCAAAAGTTAGTACTCTGCGTAGCCGAGCCACGTTGCATCTCTCTACACAGCCTCCAACCACTTATTTCGGAAAGTGCTAACATAGTTTGCAACTCATGTTTAGATGGGCAAGAGAGCTGGGATCCATTAGGTTAGCCTAGAAAGCAAACAAAAAAGGGAACTCTCAAAACCTGCCTGCACTGGGCTCCAAGCCCAATTTAAATCCATTTCAAAACACTCATTTCACCAACCAGGTCAGAAGTGTTTTGGTAACACTGCGCTGTTTGGCTGGATTCATCCTGGCTAGCAAAATCTATGCCTAAAGTGGACTTGGGTCACTTTACACATCCTTCAAGACCCAGTGTCAGCAGAGAAAAGTTGAATAGAATTCAAAATATCCATTCCTATAGGACAAAAACACTGTCCCCTCAATACTATTTTGAGGCTAGGTTAAAGGAGTGGTCCACTTGTACTATCAACACAGTTCATTAGAGACTTGGCATACCGTTCTAACATTACGGGGAAGCCATGATGGCATGCAGTTTGAAGCCTTCAATCTAGTGTTGAATCTCAGGCATTTCCTTGAGTCGGGCCAGAACAAGGCCTTGGAATGGCTTTAGCCATTACTTCATTTATGTGACATTCTTTGTTTTTTCTTGGAGTGGCATTGATGAAGCAAGTTTGCCAATTCTTTACTTATCCAAAAAG